CACACTCTAGGATTCCCAGGAGCCTGAGGCTGAGGAGTCTGAAGTCCTTTGTCTGTGGGTCTGCAGCTGAGGTATCAGGTTTTTGGCCAACATGGCTGTAGGGTCCTTGGTGGTGTCTGAGGCCAGTCTGGATGGTGATGAGGCTGGTCTCCTAGTCACAGCAGCTCTTATCTTTAAAATGGTGTGGTTTCTTTGCCAGTGGCAGCTGCCTGGCAGTGCTTGCAGCTGTAGCAGGAGCTCCCCATCTAAAAGAGCCCATTCTGCCATCCCCCAAAAGTCCTGCAGTATCTAACTGTCCCTCACTCACACACACATACACACATACCATACACATCTCCACACTTCCTCACTCACTCCCACTCTCTCTCCACTGCCATCCTTCTGGCCACCATCTTGACTCTCTGGTCATCTTATCTAATAAAGAGGGAATATGCAAATTAGCCATCACACTGGAACGGTCAAGATGGCTACAACCACGAGCAATCAATAGGGACCTGAGGCTGTGTCCCCAACCTGGGGGTCTTGACAGGGGACCTCAGGCCGCACCCCTTGCCCTGACACCAAGCTGGAGGACCTCAGTCCGTGCCCCCCACCCAGCAGGGCTTGACAGGGAACCTCAGGCCATGCCCTGCACCCTGGCACCAGGCTGGGGGATCTCAGGCCACACCCCCTGCTCCAGTGCTGGGCCAGGGTACCTCAGGCTATGACCCCCTTCCTGGCTCTGGGCCAAGGGACCTGAAGCCACACCCCATGTCCCAGCACCGGGCTATGGGAGCTGAGGCCACACCCCCGGCCTGGGCCAGTGGACCTCAAAGCATGCCCCCCTATCCCAGGCCAGGGGACCTCAGGCCATACCCCCTACCCCAGAGCCAGGTCAGGGGACCTGAGGCTGTGCCCCAGGCCTGGCACCAGGCTGGGGGACCTGAGGCTGCATCCCCAGCCTGGTGGGGCTTTCCGGGGGACCTGAGGCTGCTCCCCCCACCCTGCAGGGCTTGATGGGGGACCTGAGGCTGTACCCTCTCCAACTAGCAGGGCTTGACAAGGGTGGGGCCATCCATGTCTGGATCTCGCCCATTGTGGGTGGGGCTGGCTGGGCCTGGGTCCCACACAAATTTGAGGCACCGCAGGTGTACGGGGACTTGACTCTGGGTCCCACAGTGTGCCCTAGACTCTGACAGGATGAAGATTTTCATATACATTTTACTAATATTCTTTCATCTCTGACATTCTATTATAGAGAAAGGGGAAATGGCAATATTAAAATATTTCCTCTAATTAATCTACCTTTAATGTGCACAAATTTTGTGAGCAGGGCTGGACAAGGGTGGGGCCATCCATGTCTGGATCTCGCCCATTGTGGGTGGGGCTGGCTGGGCCTGGGTCCCACACAAATTTGAGGCACCGCAGGTGTACGGGGACTTGACTCTGGGTCCCACAGTGTGCCCTAGACTCTGACAGGATGAAGATTTTCATATACATTTTACTAATATTCTTTCATCTCTGACATTCTATTATAGAGAAAGGGGAAATGGCAATATTAAAATATTTCCTCTAATTAATCCACCTTTAATGTGCACAAATTTTGTGAACTGGGCCACTAGTCTGTAAGCAACCATCCGACCATTTGACCATTTGACCAGTAGCTATGATGCACAATGGCCACCAGAGGGAAAACACTCTGGTAGCTATTATGTGCACTGACCACCAGGGAGCAGAGGCTCAATGCAGGAGCTGCTGATGCTGCAGTGAATTGGCAACTGTGATTCTAGGGTGATACACCCAGAACCAGAGAGGAGAGAGAACCACAGATCACACTCTTAGCTTATTTTCTAAAGCTCTTCTTAGATACTTATGTCACCCAGGTTAATCCTCCCTAGTCTCACAGTATCACTTATAACCTTCTATACATTCCCTTATATACCTTGATGGCTTCAATACCCAAATTTAAGAGCGTTCTTTTTTATTATTATTTTTGCCTGTATCTACAATTCATCTATGGTCTGAATTTGGAGCTATTTCACCTTGACATACCTAGAAATTGTATTCCAACAATCAACCTACAAAATTCTAGGACCTCATAGTAACTCAGAATAGTTCATATTTAAAATTATTATCAACTTTCTATACTTTTAATCTCTCATTGAAATATTTCCTTTTGACATTAGGAAAAAAACTTGAAAAAACTGGAATACACAGTTCTTAAGCATTCTGGCAACCACCTATTTACTAATTGCATAATCCATAACTTTTTCACAGCTTGATCACATCTCTTGTTCTAGCCACAGAGAGCCACTCATTACTTATCAGCTACACTTAATATATATATATACATATCTTTGTCCATGTACTTTTCTCTTCTTAGAATATTCTTTTCTAAATCTCCATCTGATTATGGCCAATTTAGCCATTTTGATTATCCCCTCATTCTCTAAGACAATGTGAACCATTCTTCTGTGCATGCAAAGGATAAGTACTCAAGTTATCATAATTAAAAAAACAAAACCTTACATGTAAAAATTATAATTTTAGCAATCCTCACTGAGTAAACAATTTCATTACTCTATGTATTTCTGCTATATTTTTATTTTACAATATTAAACACAAATGTTCAAATATTTAATAAAATAACATTGTAATTGATAATCTACTTTTAAAATTTATTTTAAGGATCACTTTTCCTCTTGAAATAAAATCACTTCCAAAGGAATCCATGCTCACTATAAAACTGTTTGGGATTAACTGTGCCACCAACAATGCAGAGATATTGGCCTGGACTTCTCTTCCATTGTTTCCAAAAGAGTAAGTATATAATGTGTGATTAACACAGCTCCCATCCCAATAAAAAAAAGCCTCCTTGAAACTAAATATTTTTCAGTAAGTAGCATTATGAGAAAAAAATCAAGAGAAAATTTTATCCTAAAATTGAGGTAGCTCAGCATAAATCATGATTATTGAAAGTGGGAGTGGAAAAAAGTGTAGAAATGGGTTTGAATGCAGGTTTCATGTTCAACTTGTCCACTAAATCATTCACAGTGAAGAGTTACTGGCAGGACCTGTTACAATTTTTTTTCCTTCTCTAACCAGCCAATTTTTCTGCATTTAGTGCTTCGAAATTATTTAGCTAAATTCTATCATATAGAAACAATGTAAATCAAGGAATTCTGGAAGAAGTAAAATTACACAATGTAACTCACTAGTTTACTGACCTTTTATTGCCAAGAAGAAATATTTGCAACTTTATAATGATATTTTCAGAAAAGTAAGCCAACTATGAGCTCAGATATTCTATTGGAGCTAATGGCCATTGCAAATTACCTGATGATTTAACCATAGCTATTTAGAACTAATAATACTTTGGATATTTGATAGTTAATTACATGATTCTCTATACCATTAAGAAAAAATGTTTTAAATAAATCAGCTTAGTTATTTTTTACATGACAAGATTTGCTTTAAAATCAAATTGAAAAATTAATAATTGTTTTATTATTTTAATAGTGTTATAAAGAATTTTTCTGCCCCTATTGCTTTAAAAATATTTGGTAATATAAATATTTTAAGAAAATTCTTCATTAGTTTTTAGTTCCCACATTTAGTCAATATAAATAAGTTTTTATCAGGACAATCATCATAAATCTTTAAAATTGCCTTTTTTGGATTAGTTCTGACCTGGTGTGTGTGTGTGTGTGTGTCCTGCTCCATTATTTGTTTTGATGCTATAGCCTATTTCTACTTATATGTTTCTTGAGGAAAGGGAATAGATTTATCTTTGTAACATCTATCACCTCATATAGTACCTCATGAATAGGCAATCATTAGAGATTTGTTTACTAAATTGAATTGAGGAAAAATCAATTCCTACATGAGATTTAGAATGGAAATAAAATTTCATGAAGTCTGCAAAAAACAGTTTTGTCCTAAAATAACACCTACTGCTGTTAGCAAATATTTCAAAAATCTGATTTGTGGGTTAGAGCTTTCATTACTTTCTTACTAGAAGGAGCTATGCACATGCCCTTTCTTTTCAAGAGCAAATTTCTTTAAAGTTTCAACTGCAGTGCTTGTAAGATCTAACATGTTTGTGGAATAACATTTCCAGTTATTCACTGAAAAAAATTCAATCTATTTGATTCCTTTTGATGACGCACCACACTACTTTGCACATGATAGGCAATCAATACATGTTAAATATATAAGAATGTTTAAGACATTACTGTGTTTCAAACTAATCTTCAAGATCTTTTTCTAAATAGTCATAATAGTAAAAATACTGACTCCGAGTTGCTTTGTCATAAGTCACTTACCACTGGTAAAAATTTTATATGTAAGTGATCATAGACGGTGGTCAAATGCCATTTGGGACTGATAGTAGGTGGTGTTTTCTTGAGGAAAAGTGTCAGATTATGGATAATGAGACATCACATCAGCAAACACAACTTGAATAAGCACTTGTAACTGTATTTCCAAAAGACCGTATCTTATGAAAATCAGAAAAATCTGCCTCTCTCCCTTGTTGAACAATTTAAAGAAGTCCAGATCTTCATAAGACTTCAGAAATCTATTATTGGGGCAATTGGGAGATTCCATGACTCCCACTGAGCTCATTGCTACAAGTTACAGAGATTCTAACCCAATTCATCAGATACAGATATTTCCAGATCATAGCAAATAGGCCACTTTTCACAGAATGCCTTTGCCTATAAATGTTTGGTATTGAATCTGCCATTTATTACATTTTGAATTACCCATATCTAGCTGTGTGGAATTGTAATGAGCACTTATGTCTTTATTTTTTTTAACGTACACAAGACCTGAAAATATGCAGAATTAAAAGCTTCCTATCTCTGTGGTTCTAAGATGTGGGTTTCAGAATAACCAATGGTGACTAAATGCAGAAATATCAGTTATGGGTGCACCAAGAATGTCTACAAATAAATATAAACATTGACATTTTCAAGCACACAAACTCGCCTTCAAGCCTATAAAAAATATGTCACAAGTACAAAAGTTAAATTTTGCCCATAGAACAGCGATTCTCAACCTGTGGGTCGTGACCCCTTTGGGGGTCAAACGACTCTTTCACAGGGGTCGCCTAAGACTATCAGAAAACACATATATAACTACATACTGTTTTTGTGATTAATCACTATGCTTTAATTGTGTTCAACTTGTAACAATGAAATTGGGGGTCACCACAACATGAGGAACTGTATTAAAGGGTCGCGGCATTAGGAAGGTTGAGAACCACTGCCATAGCAGCTTTGCGATCCTCCCTTTTTCAGACAGAACTTCTATTGCATCTATGCTGTATTCACAATGCCTCCTCACTGCTATACGAAAGTGTTATTCACACCTCAACAATTGTTAAGAGCTACCTTTCTACTTAAATGCAAAACAAATAGTGTAATAGTTGCTTAGCATTTCTAGATTGTGGTAAATTCTTCAGTTCAGAGATACTTATCCCTGAATGAACAGTCTCCTGGGAGACCACCAACACTCTTCCCCTCTTAATTCCACTAATCATCTTCCTCCTCCTCACATTTTCTATTTCCAGAACTCTATGGGAATTTATTCTCTCCACCATGCTTACAATATCTCAAAAGATTTTTAGGTGCAGTCCATTATCAGTAAGTAAGTTAGCTACTATCAAGCACACAGAGAGCCCAACGAATGGTGCCAGGCATCTTTTCCTCCTTGAATTGCCTCAAAGTGTATCAGCCTCAGTTGGACAGCTAGAAGTCCATTCTCCCTATGCCTTTTTGCTTGATACATCTCCTCATACATATACCTAAATCAAGTGTTCTGACTTCATTCTCCCCCATATGCCTCAGAATTAAGGCCGTGGTGACTACTGATCCAGACCCCATCCAAGGAGACAAGTGACAGACACTGTCATTTATTCTTGAGTCACCTCATCCTCTGTAGAAATCAGCTTAGATCACTCTGTTTTTCAGAGTGAAACATGGCCAAGGCATTTAAGTATAGCAAGGCCATAAATATAACTCATTATACATCTTAGATGCAAAGAAAAATGCCACTAATATATCACACTTTTCCTCATGACCTCCTACCTTATAATTAATGAAGAGGAAAAACCTTCCACTGATGACCAAAAATTAGTCATTTCAGTCATTTAAATAGTCCTTTTAGAAGTGCACAGTCGCTTTTGAAAAAATAATGCTTAGTCATTCCGATGTCCTCCTGACACACTGCCTCTTCCTAAGAGGATATCTGGAGACACCGGATCAGAAAAGAAACAGATTCTTTGGCCTGGTGATTTGACCTCTGATATCCAAATCAAAGGCACTTTTGAAGCTGTGGCTACTGATTACAGCTAGGGGAACTAGTGACTGGTGCTCTCCCAGCCTGACCAGGGCTTACTCACACTCCCTGGGTGAGGGGGGCTCTTACAGACACCATAGACCTGGCTGAGGTTTGCCTGTGACTCCTATTCGACCTCATCATATCCCCACTCTTAGCACCAAGGTCCCTTATCCCCACCATATGACCTCCCCCTTTTGGAAAGCCCCTCCCTCAGGTATATTTAGCTTTTCCTAGAGCCCCTCACCCCCGCCCACCTTCAGCATTATCCTATATTCCCTTATCTAGCACTCCTCCCCATCTGCCTTCCAGAAGAGGGGAAAAATTGGAACATCTGTGTCTGCCACACTCACTCTGTCCCCTCTTTGTCTTCTGTTTCCCACCATCCTGAGTTGCCAGAAAGTGGTGGCCTTTTCTGTACCACATTCTCCATCGGATATACCACATCCTTCCTCCCTCATTCCTGTTAACCCGTTACTGTGGACACAAGTGTCTTCTATAAATGCTGTATAGAACATTAACATCTGACCTTCTCCTTCTTCCTTCCTCATTCTGCCTGGAGCTAATCCAAACTTTTTCCAAGCAGATGGGTACTTTGGACCATTTTGGAGAAGGTTATAACTTAAGAAAGGCAGAAGTGAAATCACATTAATATATATATTTTTTATTTCTACCCCATTAAGCTAAATTTTAGCTTGCTAATACTGGCTCCCTGGTAACGTTATACAAGAAAAAAATCTTTCTCAAGATGAGGGAGGCATGAAACAAAAGGATAAAGACTCCAAGTTTGTTCTGCTAGAAGAATATTCTTGGGTTATTTAAAAATATCTGCACAATAATGTTTATAAATTATACTCCCCTAAGCAGATACTTTTTTAAAAAAAAAATCTGCAGATATGGAAAATAAAGAAAGCAGGCCTCAGAAATCTAAAGGTCTAAAGAAAGCTTTATTTGCTGGAGTTTTCATCCTATTTCACATAGTGTTCGTTAAATGGCAAGATGGAAGTCTCTGCTGTTTTCAAAAAGACTCAGCTGATGCCTTAAAGTTCTTCATAGACTTGAATTTCATTGCCTTTCAGTTTTACATTTAATTTGATATTTTAAAATCAAAAGCTGTTCTCAGTGATCATTGGAACAGCTCACCAATAATTGAATTCATATATGCAGCCAGGTATCGTTTCCTTTTTAATTCTTTTAAGGATCTCTGTGGATTTGGATGTTATTGAAGTTGTTAAAACCTTCCATGAATTCTTCCTGTTTCAAGTCTTTCCTGTATGCATTCTCATTTACTATGGTAATTTACAACGTCTTCTCAAAGATTCAGAATATGAATATTTTTTTTCTTATTCACGCATAAAGAAGTACTTCTCCTGTGAAGTCCCACTATTCTGATTCTGCAGATCATATGTTAATTTAAGTATTTTCTTTCTATACATTTAGAACCATATCTTTATGGATTCCCAGGGAATTTAGTCATTCTGTGGGGCAAAAAATAATGTTCTCAAGAGTTATCCATTGTGAAAACAACTTTGTCATGTGGAAAATAAATCTAGATAGCTTATAAACATAGCCGTGTGTAGGGGGTATTAGAAATGAACTATTAATTAATATTTAGGATTATGGAATATTGTATTTTCTTCCTGCTACTAAAGGAAGCCAGCTGATTATGTTTATATTTCAAAAGAAAACATTTATAGATAATAATAGTTTCCTTCATCAAATGACTCCTGTCTGTATGTGTTTTCTCTTGCAGCAAAATCATTCTTGGGTCTGTGCTATTCAGCATGACATTACACAGTGAGCCTCCCATCGAAATAATAGCCCCAGGAGTGTGGGATATAAGCCAACCATCCCCAGTGATCCTGCAGGTAAGTGCCAGACTATGAGATTAACGTACACAAGGCAAGTATTGGTTGATCAGTAGCTTATTGTCAATTACAGAAACAATTCTCTTTTGGGATCACACAATGTTATAGTCTTCCTCCAGCCACTGGGATTTTTAAAATCTCTACAGCTTTTATTTTGTATTTAGTATTCTCAAAGTCTTTTTCTCCCAGCTTATATAATAGCAATTTCAAGCCATTCTCCATCCAACAGGATCATGAAGGAGAGGGAAGGAATGCTGCCATTAGTATACTCATTATGCGCATTTATTTTGTCCATTGTCTGAAAGAAGTCATTGGTATATATTATTAGTTCGGTACCTTATTCACACCTGCCTCTGCATTGTGTCATGTTCCTTAAAATCTTGTTATTGTACATTGCCGAAATGACTAGCAATTAGCTGAGTAGTGGGGGAGAAACTGCAACAAAATCCATCCATTATACTGCACTTTCTTTTTTCTTAAAGCCTTTCTACTTTTTGTGATCATGAATGAAAGGTGATGAATGATTTCAGGCTTTGGTTCTTACTGCTGAGAACTCCCTATTAGTTCATGATTGCAAGTAATCATATTTGTCAGACACCTGAAGCATGGCCACTCCCATACATTGAAAATGTGGGGAATATAGACTCTTATTCTCTTTAGGAAAAACTGGAACTGCTTTCTTGGCAGGATAGTCTAGAAAAGGATTTTTCAACTTCTGCACTATTGACATTTTGTTTCAGATAATTCTTTGTTCTGTGCACTGTAGGATATTTAGCAGCATCTTTGTCTTCTACCACTAGATGGCAGTAGCACCTCCCCAGTTCTGAGAATCAAGTATGCCTTCAAGGCACTGTCAAATACCCTCTGAGAATAAAATTGCCCTCAGGTGGAGATCATTGCTTCTAGAGGAAACTAGTGGAGTCTCTAGGCTTTTTAGTTTCAAGGTTTGGGGGTACAAGGTGTGAGATATACGGTTTAGCTAGATGAACAACAAGATGCTAAAAATGCAAAAATAAAGGTAATTACTAATAGAAAGATAGCTCCCACTCTGAAGGAGGGATGAGGTCCCCACCAGATGGTAGCCAACGATCCACTTCTAAGCTGTGGACACAGTGATAACAAAGAGTAGCTGTTCAGGGTGGATCTTAGCACAATCACAGACACTCAACAAATGATGGCTTACTGATTAGCAGGTGTTCCATTGTAAAGCACAACTACCTTTCCTTCAGAGGATTAATACATTTTTTATCAGACTATTTCTTGCCAGACACACACCACCTCAGCTCGACCAAAATCTTCCAAGTCTGTTCATTGCCAGAACTTTGTGGATATCAATTCGTGATTACAGGGATCTGTAGTGGCAGCAGTGGAAGAGAAGTAAGGGAGACTGTTCCTGATTCTTCTCAAATGAGGGGGGAAACTGCTTAGGGACACAGGTCCTGGTAAGTGGAATCTGAAGAGAAATGTCAAGTATTTAACAGCAGCATAGATTTCCAAGTAGACACCTGGAATCACACCAAATTTGTCTTACAAAAGGGTGGGGGTCGGCATGTAAATATTCCATCGTATGCAAAAAAGTTAGGTAATTTGATTCTTACAAAATAAGTTCATGTACAGACATAAAGGGAAACTTCCCAGAATATTCTTAATTGGTGATGAAATATACAAAATAAAATGAAAGTTATTAAGGTATTAAAGTTAAAACCCTTAATAACCAGTTTCACTCTAATTACATACAGCTAAATTTAGAGCAGGATTTTCACCTAAATATTATGAGATGATGAGGAAATTAGAAGTTCTGCAATTAGTGTTTGTGTTAAGGAGTCAGTGTGAGTCTCAGAAAAAGACATCAGACTAAGAGTTAGGAAATGTGGATTCTAGACTTAACTCTTTAACAGAAAGTTTTATGGCTGTGAAGTCACCTCACTTTCAATTTTCTCCTCTGTACAAAGAAAAGATTATACTATGCCTTTCCAAGTTCTTTCAAGTCTATACTTCTTTTATTGTCTTTATCATGTGAGTAGTTATTGCCACACTGTAGCCGACCCAGTATGATAAGAGACATGATGTCACAGGACCTGATTCCTTCCAGTCAATCATTTTTGGAGTGTTCTGTGGTTGATTTTCTAACTGGAAGCAGTGGATAAAATGAAGTAGATCGGAGTTCAGTAATGGAGACAGATTATTGCATGATTTCACCACCCTGAGTTTCCCTTGACTTCCTCTCTCTTCCCTTATACAATCTAGTAGGGTGGCTCTATCACAATTTAAGAACTAACAGTTAATGTTGCTCTTATTCTATTCTCTGTTTTTCTACTTCCTCACCTCCCCATTCATGTCTCATTTATTATATTCTGCTTATATGTCCTCACTACCTTTAACTGTTGGCATTTAAAATGTGCAATTCAGTGGCTTTTAATATTTTTACAGATATGTACAATTATCACTACCATCACTTTTATTTTTGTCACTTCAGAAGGAAATCTCATAACCTTTAGCTATGACCTTCTTCTATTCATCCGTTTGTTTTCAACTCTAAAAACCTATAATCTACTTTCTGTCTCTATAAATTCACCTATTCTGTACATTTTATATAAATAGAATTATAAAAATGTGACCTTTTGTGACTGGCTTTTTTCACTTAGCATAATGCTTCAAAATACATCCATGTTGTAGCATCAGTACTCATTTCTTTTTTATTATTGAATTATATTACATTATATGGATATGCTACACTTTATCATTTATTAGTCAATGTGCACTTAGATTATTTTCACCTTTTGGCTATAAATTATAGAGCTTTAAACATTCATGTACACGTTTGTATGTGGATGTGAGTTTTTATTTATCTTGAATATGTACCTAGCAGTGGAATGGCTGGGCCTCATTCATTTCTAAAGTTTTATTGACAGTATCTATGCAAGTTTATTTCTGAGTCTGGAGCTCTGATTCAGATTCCTTCATACCACAAGCTTCACACAAATAGAGCCACATCCCTAGCAAAACTCCCACCTTCAAAGACAGCATACCCCACACTGATCCAAAATATACTTGCCAAACTGGTCTTTACCAGAGAAGATTTCACTCTCATGCCTACATAATGGTTCACAGACTTTTATGAAGTAAAAATGAACATAGAGTAACTCTATTTTTCTAAGTTATTATGTAAAACAGTATAATTACCATCTATCATTTTCATCATTTAATAATAGAAATATGTTTTAATTCTTAAATGTAGAAAGGCTATAATCATTTAATTTTATGAAAAGTTTACATATTGTTATTATTTTTTCTCATTTTTCCTGATACAATATTACAGATTACTAATGTATGCCTATTATATACATAATTGAGGATTTTCTAAATACCATATCCATTTAGATACCGAGTCAAACCCTAATGATTATTTTAAAACTTATTTTTAAGTAATAAATGGTACAGACAATACAGGAGTTTTCCTTTAGTTTCTACAAATCTACGATGGAGTTTATTAAATTAATAAGGCATTTTTGAGGTTTTCAGTACATGGCAACCATTTCTTTATTTCAGATTGACTTTCCAGCTACAGAGTGGGAGTATGTGAAACTTGATGTTGAAGACAGTAGAAGTAATCCTGAAGAACCACCGAAAGAGTGTTTAGAGTGTTTAAAACATATTGCCAGACTTTCACAGAAACAGTCTCCCTTACTGTAAGTGACCCAGGTCTTGTGAGTAAATGTTGCCTGCTATTCATGACACCATCAGTCATATGAAAGTGTTCATAACTTTATAAAGAGTGAACCTTCCCTCCCACATAACTTCTTTCATTTACTAAAGTTGTACCTGTGGGATAATCAATTAATGTTAAGAGCTACATTAGTAATATTTTGTATGCTTTTTAAAGTTTCTTTATCCTGCAGTATTAAGCAACTTTAACTTTAGTCAAAGGAAAATAAAAAGGTTGGAAATCATTCAGTTCAAACAACAAAGCAGAGAGTGATTAAATATATATACGCATTTAACAGGGTCAAACCGTTGCTTAACCATCATCAAAGTGGATATAAAGTTGTTTTAGTAAACAGGGAAAAGCAAAATTTAATTATCTTAGCAGATTTTAAAAGTACAGAAATAAACCATGTTTTAATAGCACTAAATTGTTGACTAAAGAGTGCTTTGATTTTGTCAAACAGTAATTCTCTGAATAAAACCAAACCCCAGGAAGAACTATAAGAGAATTATGGCCCTAGCTGGTTTGGCTCAGTGGATAGAGCCTGCAGACTGAAGAATCCTGGGTTCCATTCTGGTTCAGGGCATGTACTTCGGTTGCAGGTTCCTCCTCGGGCCTGGCCCTGGTCAGGGCGCATGTAGGAGGCAACCAATCAATGAGTTTCCCTCACATTGATATTTATCTCTGTCTTTCCCTTTCTCTTCCACTCTCTCTAAAAAAATCAATGAAAAAATATCCTTGGGTGAGGATTAAAAAAAGAGAGACAGAGAGAGAATTATGGACTTTGTACTTACCACTCAATAATAGCTAAGCTACAACTGACTATGTTCATCAATGAAATGCCAAAAACGTAGAACTAAGAAAGTAATTCTTTACAAATCTACTGTAATATATAGATAAGATATAGAACGTAATTTTTTCCTAAGGATGAGAAATAATTGAACGGTTTTGAGCAAGGGAGTCATGTGACCTGAATAATCTCTTTGAGTAATTACTTTGATTTGACCACAAGTTAAAGAATGGATTGGCAAGAAAGTAAGAGGGGAAGCAAGCAGTACAGCAGGAAGGTTAGGGTGACATTTTAGGTAAGAGATTATAGTGGCTGTAACTAAAGGGATCGCAGTGGACATTGGGAGAAATGGCTAGATTTGAGAGGCATACTTTGGAAGTTGAGAAGATATGACTTGACGATTAACAGTAATTAGAGGATAAGCCCATTGAGAAACTGAGGAATGAATTAACTCAATGGAGAATACACATTTTTTAATTGGTCAATAAGGCAGAAGATAGAGTTATTTTCTGGGGGAAGAATAAGTTTGGGCCATTCAAAGCTGAGATATTGAGTGTGATCAAGTTCTCTTTTAGATAATCTTGTTACTGCCCTGCTTTCTAATTTCAACTTGTATTGCTCCTTTCCTCATTCACTTCAAGCCAATGACATTAGTCTCTCTCATCTATTTCAAATGTGCTAGTTCCTCTCCCCATCAAGACCCTTTTTACTTGCTTTTCCCACTACCAGAAGTACTCCTTCTCCAGTTCTTCCTATAAGTGAATCATCTCATCCTATAGCTCTTCATTTAAATATGATTGTCTCAAAAATACACTAATATTCTCAACATTAGATCCTTTCCAAAACTACTAAGTGAAAAAAGCCATAAATAAGAGAGTATTTACTGATTCTATTTATATGAAGTTTTAAAATAAGGAATATTAACATAGGGTGCAAGAAGTCATACCAGTGTTTGTATCTGATGGCATTAAAAAAAACCTATTTATATCTTAATAGGATTATGTTTTTACCTGCTACATGTATTGAATTGTTCATTTCCTTCTCTGTAAATGTTTCATTAAAGAAGTTAATAGGGGGAAAAAAGCATTATTCAATATTGGGGGAAAATGGAATTTAATCAGAACAAAATAAATAATTTTAGTAGTTTAGTAAAATTTTGTTATGGGTTTTTTTTTTCTTTTGAGGGCTTTCTATTGGAGAAGGTAGTGACAAAACATATCTTAGACATTACCTATAATCCAATTCCTTCATTGTGCAGATGAAGATACCTTTAAAAGAAGTTATAGAGAAATATTGATTTTTAAAATACTTAACATTTCTCATTTCCATTCTTGGGAGTTTTTAGCTAATGTGAGGTGAACAACAGAGCATCAGTTTGGAAGAGACAGTGTACAAAAGCCGTCGTTGTCGTAGGAGAAACGCTGCTCTGCAGCTGAACTCCGGCTCCGAATGCTTCTGCCGGAGTGTGAGCAAAACATAAGCTGTCAGTGAGTCAACAGCCCTCGTCCCAGATTCAGATCTTCTGTTTGGCGCTACTCTCCAGGAGGAAATAGTTGGGCATTTAAGGAAGTTCTATTCACTGGCATTAACTCAAAACTCTCAATGAACTCTGAGAGTGTAATGCCAGAATCCAAGGATGAATTGAGATCTTTGTTTTAGAAATTTAGACCAAAGAGTTTTCTGAACTCTGGTGAAACTTGCTTTGAGGTGAAGGAATTCATCTGGTCTAAGTTAATTTGTAAAGAAAGTAAGTGGTTGCTTATTGCTCTTCTAAGTAGCACATGTTGCAGGATTCAGATAAATTTTGTCTGCTCTCAAGGAGACAGAGATTTTGCCCACCAATATATCTTTTTTTTTTAAGTCGCAAGGGTAACAGGGAGGAAAAAATAAATGTGAATGATCTGAAGCAAGCTTTTATTTTTATTTTTTCTGTAAAATAATAAAGTTAGTGGGAGATAAGCTGATGAAATAGCTTTATCAAACTGTTCCAAGAAGATAAAGGACTTGCTTCCCAAACTAAACTAAAATTTAAAAAACTAGTGTAAGATTTTATACTGTGTGTTTGCAGCAGCCTTTGTAAGTAAAGAAACTTCTAGTAAATTACAATCTGGTTTTACAGACTCTCTGAAGAAAAGAGAAGATACTTATGGTTTTATCGCTTCTACTGCAATAATGAAAATTGCTCCCTACCCTTGGTCCTGGGCAGTGCCCCTGGATGGGATGAAAGAACTACTTCTGAAATGCATTCCATTTTGAGAAGATGGAAATTTTCTCACCCTTTAGAAGCACTTGGACTTTTGACCTCCAGGTAACAATTATATAACAAGCATGAGAGTAATTACTGATAAGAAAAATTTGAAGAGAAAATACTGGACTATATGAAAAATTCAATAGATATTCTATTTCCAATTTTAATAGCTATGAATATTAAATGTAGGTAAATGTAAACTATGAATATACATTTTAAACAAATCTAAGCTATAACTATGCCTTCAGTACTAAACTTGAAGTACAATTAATAACTATGGTTCCTGAAATGAAACGAGTCTTATTGCTCTTAGAGAAATAACCCAAAAAATGAACTATGGAAAACTAAAATTCTCTACTTCTTCCCCTCTCAAAGAAAAAAGTTTTGCCCAGCCAGCATGGCTCAGTGGTTGAGTGTCCACCTATGAACTTGGAGGTCACAGTTTGATTCCTGGTCAGGGCACATGCCCAGGTTGTGGGCTCAATTCCCAGTGTGGGACTTGCAGCAGGCAGCCGATCAATGATTCTCTCTCATCATTGATGTCTCTCTCTCCCTTCCTCTCTGAAAGAAATAAAAATATACTTTTTTAAAAAGAAAAAAGTTTTTAAAAATTGGAATCATACTTTTTCTTTTCTATTTAAGCATGCAAAATGTGAAAAAATGCCCTGCTTCTACATAGGTGTACAATTCATCTGCCAATTATAATAATTAAAAAATAATCCCTTATATATTTCTTTAGAGCAGTGGTTCACAACCTTCTGGCCCTTTAAATACAGTTCCTCATGTTGTGACCCAACCATAAAATTATTTTCATTGCTACTTCATAACTGTAATGTTGCTACTGTTATGAATTGTAATGTAAATATCTGCTATGCAGGATGGTCTTAGGCGACCCCTGTAAAAGGGTCATTCGACGCCAAAGGGGTCGTGACCCACAGGTTGAGAACTGCTGCTTTGGATGTTTCCGCAGGAAAAGGAGGGAAAATTCACCAGGTGGGGGTTGAGGGTGGGGAATGATGTCTTCTACTAGTTAAGGGAAAGCATGTGGGAACAAGAGTGTTACCTGGCTCTTGTTTGGGGAAGCAGTTCTTCCTTGGCTTCTATTTTATATTCAAAGCCAAGGAGAAATATTTTAAATCTGTCCTGATAACATCATGATTACATCAGCTCACCAATGCCATGAAGAAAGTCTGCAGACTCTAGAGCCAGAGAAGAATCGCAGAGCCCAGTTCTATTCTGAATTCTCTCTGAAGGTCCTGACAGGACAACGGTGGGACAGAGAGTGACATAAAGGACTTTCCAACTGATTTATTTAGATTTATTTTAAATCAGTGTCATTTATAAAACTTGTGGGGTGGAAAACTGTTATCTTTTCCTATTATTTATGAGTTACTAGGTTTCTCTCAATCTTCAAGCTCAAAATTTACAAATTTTCTTAGAATCCTACATTTTTTTTGGTACTTCTCACATTGGAGATTTTTCTCAGTTTTATGGTTTCTTCAATTAATGAATGTGATCCCAGATGCCCACTCTTCCTTGATAAACGACAGATAGATGATAGATGATAGACCGATAATTGATAATCAATAGAGGAAGGAAGGAAGGAAGGAAGGAAGGAAGGAAGGAAGGAAGGAAGGAAGGAAGGAAGGAAGGGAGGGGAGAACTTTTTTGTTAGTTGAGTTTGAAGTTTTTCTTTTATTATAATGTTTCTCCGTGGGTCCTGGAATTGACCACTTCTGCCTAGTACAGTGCTCTAATACTTTATAAGTTACATTTCATTGCAATGTGTTTACAAGAAACATGTGAAACATGTGATTTTTGTCTACATTAAACTAAAAGCTACTGCAGGCAAAATAGATCATTTTAGTGTTTCTATTTCCTGAAAGCTTAATACCTGGGACATAGTAATTACTCAATATTGAATCAGTCACTTTCTAAAATACATTATGATTATTTGTGCCTTATTTTAACATTTAAATTATGTTATTTGAGAGAATCATCATTTTCTTTATGACACACATTACCTTATACAGTTGAATGAATTAATAAGAGAATGATACCATAGGAAAATCAATTAAAAATTGACTGGTTTCATTGGGATTATTCACAGTTTATGCTTGTATTTTAAGACCCTTGTGTAAAAGGTAGACTCACTTCTATCTTAATCCTAACCTATCTTCCTGATTTAGATATATAAGAATAGCCAAAATCTGTATTTCTTTTTACTAACTTCTAGTTTTTTGTTCAATTAAGACAGAATATTAACACAATTGTTATTTTATCATTCCTGATCTGATTGGCTAATAGAGAGTTGCTTCAAAATGCAAAGATAACAATTCACAAAATAAGAAAAAGTTTAGGCAAATCATATATGTGATAATAGAATTTTATTCAGAATACATAAATACTTTTGCAACTCAACAACAAAAAGGTAAATAACTCAATTTTTAAATGGTCAAAGGATCTAAATAGTTATTTCCCCAAAGAAAATGCACAAGTCCAATAAATACATGAAATGATACATGACATAACTAACCACTAGAAAAATGCAATTAAAACCACAATGAGATACCACTTCATATCAATAAAATGATTATAATAAAAAAGACAAATATGTGTTAGTGAGAAAGTGGAGAAATTTAAAATCTCATATGTTACTAGTGGAAATGTAAAATGAAACCAATATGACAGTTTCTTAAATATTAAACATTGCATTACCCTAATGATCCAACAATTCCACACAGATATATACCCAAGATAAATAAAAATATTTCAGTTCAAACACTAATGTTTAGAGCAGCATTATTTATAATAGCTAAAAAGATAGAAACAACACAAATGGACATCAATTAATGAATGGATAAATAAAATGTGACACTTCACACAATGGAATATTATTTGATAACTAGAGGCCTGGTGCATAAAAATTTGTGCACTTGGGGGTGGGGGGGTCCTTCAGTCTGGCCTATACCCTCTTGCT